GGGGAAACGGAGGCACGTACATCAGGGCGATCTCCGTCCTAGACGGGGAAACGGAGGCGGGAAGTGACCTGTCCCACGCAGGGAGGGGGCAGAGACAGGAATGGAACCCAGGAGTCCGAGTTTGCCTGGCCAGCCCCCCCACCCACACGGCCGCCGTGGGGGGTGAGTGGGGGGGGGGGCCCAGTGGGGAGGCAGCGGCGGTGACACGTCGATGCCCCCACGGTGGAGAGCCGGGGGCGCCCCCTGGAGAGGAGGGATGGGTCCCCAGAGGCCGGGGCGGCGCGGCGGCTCCGGCTCTGCCCAGGCACCGGCCCTGACTCAGCTAAATCGCGGGCGGGCGGGCGGGGGGCCCCAGCCCAGCGCTCACCGGCCGAGGTGATCATGCTGCCGCTTGGCCTGGCCCGGCCCGGGCTGCTCGCTGCTCCGCGGTAGGGGCTGGGGGCTCGGGGGCCGCCGATGCCGGTGCTCGGGTCCGTGCCGTGACCAGCACTGCCGCCGCCGTCTCCTCCTTCCGGCCCGGAAGTGTCGTCAAAGGACCCCACAGGCCCCCGGCCAGGGGGCTGCCCTCGCAGCTGCCAGATCACAAAGCACCGGCGGCGCCGTCAGGAAAATGCGGGGCTCAGCCCGGCAGCGCGGGGAGAAGGGGCATGGGCCGAGTCGGCCCCCGGCCTCCGGGCACGAGCCCGGTAAAAGTGACAGGCAGGAGCAGGACGACTCCTCCCTCCCCGCGCGGCGTGGGCTGCTGCAGGGGAGCATGGGGCAGGCAGCCCCCGGGCCGGGGGACCGATCAGCCTCTTCGCCCTACAGGGGCCGGTTCCCTGCTGCAGGAAAAGGCTATGCACGGCCCCAGCCCGGCCCCCATAGCAGCTAGGGCAGGGGCAGGCAGATCATCCCCCCCCCCCCCACACACACACACACACACGTGCCTAGACCCCTTTGCATTGCAGTAGGGGTGTCGTTTGCCTTGGGGCAGTTGCCCCCCAAGACTTTTCATGGGTCTGGCTCCACTCCCCCCAACCGCCCACCCCCGACTTTCCAGGATGCACTATAATCACATAGGTGAAGAGTCATCAGTTAGTTTTGGTCAAGATCTAAATTTCTTGGTCAAAATATAGGCAAGGTCCAGATTCCAAAAGAAATAATAATTTTAAAAAATGGTAAGTACATAAAAAGACTTCAGGGTCCATTCAAAAGCATCTTTCAGAGTAGCAGCCCTGTTAGTCTGTATTCGCAAAAAGAAAAGGAGGACTTGTGGCACCTTAGAGACTCCAACCCCTCAGACAGAGACAAACACCTACAAGATCTCTGTCAAGCTTTCTTACAACTACAATACCCACCTGCAGAAGTAAAGAAACAGATTGATAGAGCCAGAAGAGTTCCCAGAAGTTACCTACTACAGGACAGGCCTAACAAAGAAAATAACAGAACGCCACTAGCGGTCACCTTCAGCCCCCAACTAAAACCCCTCCAACGCATTATTAAGGATCTACAACCTATCCTAAAGGATGACCCAACACTCTCACAAGTCTTGGGAGACAGGCCAGTCCTTGCCTACAGACAGCCCCGCAACCTGAAGCAAATACTCACCAACAACCACATACCACACAACAGAACCACTAACCCAGGAACTTATCCTTGCAACAAAGCCCGTTGCCAATTGTGCCCACATATCTATTCAGGGGACACCATCACAGGGCCTAATCACATCAGCCACACTATCAGAGGCTCGTTCACCTGCACATCCACCAATGTGATATATGCCATCATGTGCCAGCAATGCCCCTCTGCCATGTACATTGGTCAAACTGGACAGTCTCTACGTAAAAGAATAAATGGACACAAATCAGATGTCAAGAATTCTAACATTCATAAACCAGTCGGAGAACACTTCAATCTCTCTGGTCACGCAATCACAGACATGAAGGTCGCTATCATAAAACAAAAAAACTTCAAATCCAGACTCCAGCGAGAAACTGCTGAATTGGAATTCATTTGCAAATTGGATACTATTAATTTAGGCTTAAATAGAGACTGGGAGTGGCTAAGTCATTATGCAAGGTAGCCTGTTTCCTCTTGCTTTTTCCTACCCCCCCCCCCCCAGATGTTCTGGTTTAACTTGGATTTAAACTTGGAGAGTGGTCAGTTTAGATGAGCTATTACCAGCAGGAGAGTGAGTTTGTGTGTGTATGGGGGTGGGGGGGATGTGAGAAAACCTGGATCTATGCAGGAAATAGCCCGACTTGATTATGTAAAGAGTTGTCACTTTGGATGGGCTAGCACCAGCAGGAGAGTGAATTTGTGTGGGGGGTGGAGGGTGAGAAAACCTGGATTTGTGCTGGAAATGGCCCACCTGTTGATCACTTTAGATAAGCTATTACCAGCAGGACAGTGGGGTGGGAGGAGGTATTGTTTCATATTCTCTGTGTGTATATAAAGTCTGCTGCAGTTTCCACGGTATACATCTGATGAAGTGAGCTGTAGCTCACGAAAGCTCATGCTCAAATAAATTGGTTAGTCTCTAAGGTGCCACAAGTACTCCTTTTCTTTTTGCGAATACAGACTAACACGGCTGTTCCTCTGAAATTAGTCTCTAAGGTGTCACAAGTCCTCCTTTTCTTTTTTCAAAAGCATCTGTGGATCGGGCTTTGGCCTGTGCGCTTCACCCATTGACTACCCTGAGATAGGGGGGTTTTGGACTGATACAACTTCCCCCTCGCCCAAAAAAATCTGAAATGATGCCCTTGCTGCGCACAACATGCTAGAGGCACAATTCCTCCAAGGTCCTGTCACCTCTGCACCTCCCTGGCACCCAGCCCATGGGTGTCACTGTAGACCAGGAGCTAGGGTTGCCAAGTGTTCAGTTTTTAATGGGAATGCCCGGTCAAAAAGGGACCCTGGCGGCTCCGGTCGGAAGCAGCAGCATGTCCCCTCTCCGGCTCTATGTGTAGGGTCAGTCAGGGGGCTCCGCACATTGCCCCCACCCCAAGCCCCAGCTCTGCAACTCCCATTTGCCAGGAACTGTGGCCAATAGGAGCTGCAGGGGCGGCACCTGTGGACAGGGCAGTGCGCAGAGACACCTGGCAGCACCTCCGTGTAGGAGCCGGAGGGAGGACATGCTGCTGCTTCCGGGAGCTGCTTGAGGTAAGCGCTGCCCAGAGCCTGCACCCCTGACTCCCTCCCAGGCCCTCACCCCCTGCCCCAGACCTGATCCCTCTCCTGCTCTCCAAACCCCTCAGCCCTAGCCCAGAGCCCCCTCCTGCACCCCAAATCCCTCATCCTTGGCCTCACACCAGAGCCCACACCCCCAGCCAGAGCCCTCACCACCCCTGCACCCCAACCCAGAGCCCCCTCCCACACCCTGAACCCCACATTTCTAGCCCCTGAACCTGCACCCCCAGCCCAGAGCCCATACCCGCCCCCAGAACCCAACTCCCTGCCTCAGCCTGCAGCCCACTCCCATACTCTGAACCACTCGGCTCCACCCCCCAGCCTAGAGCCCCCTTCTGCACCCCAAACCCCTCATCCCTGGCCCCACCGCAGAGCCTGCACCCCCAACTGGAGCCCTCACCCTCTCTCACATCCCAACCCACTGCCTCAGCCCGGAGCCCCCTCCCTCACCCCAAATGCCTCATTTCTGGCTCCACCCTGGAGCCCGCACCCACAGCTGGAGCCCTCACTCTGTCTCGCACCCCAACCCCCTGAGCCAACCTGATAAAAAACGAGTGAGTGAGCGAGGGTGGGGAGAGCAAGCGACAGAGGGAGGGGGGGATAGATGGGGGTGGGACCTCAGGGGGGGGTGGGGCTAGGGGCGGGGCAAGGGTGTTCAGTTTTGTGTGGGTAGAAAGTTGGCACCCAACCAGGAGCCATGAAACATGGAGGAGAAAAGGAACACTGAGCGAGCATGTGATGTTAAGAATGGGAAAGCTTAGGCTGACCATCGGGGAACTTCCTAAGGGCTTGTTTACCCCCAGCTCTTCACTGAAACAAGCTTTGCTGCTATAAGCTCTCCTAGCAGTAGAACTGTCCAGTCATGGCCCAGGCTGCATTGGGCTAGGTGCTGTACAGACACAACAAAAAGATGGGTGCCGCCCTGAAGAGCCTACCCAGTGAGAGGTGCTCCCAGCTTCTACCAGAAGTTGGGGGTGGGGAGGAAGGTGGGTTTTTTTTACCACACACCTGCAGGAATCACAGGGCAAGGCCAGGCGATACAGCAAGGAAGAGCCCTCATGGTGGGTTTTCTCCCATCTCATCTAAGTTCACGAGCTGAAAAAAAGGGAAACCTGCCCAAAAAAGCATCCAGTCCAGCTATCTGCCTCTAACAAAACATTATCAAATCCCTCTCCACCTCAGCCTGGCACTGTTTGCTAACACAACAGTGCAAGGTCCAAATGCCCCCTCTGTTTTTTCATGTAGTGCCCTGGTTATCAGCACAGCATTTAGGCTTGTAGTCTCATGCTTTGGTTCCAGTTTGGATAGATCTGACATTCAGGTCGGGAAACTCCGAGGAGAGGAAAAAGTCGGGCTAAACAGAAAATTGAAGTTTTACAAAGTTTGTTCTGGAACAAAAAGTTCTGACCCTTCTCTAGCACCGTCAATTTCTGCAGATTCTGACCTAGTAGGAAAAGTGTTACATGCGGAGTGTCTCAGAACCCACTAAGTCAATATAGTTGAAGGTGCTCAGCATCCTACACAATCAAACCCTGGCATTGGAATTATAATGGTCATGTCTGAAAAGGCAGCACAGTGGTCCCTCTCCTCAGTGAGCATCCCCAGGTACCAATTGTTCGGTCACTAGTTAAAGCCCACCTGTGTGCTGTGGATTGCCACCAAAGACAGGTTTCACTATTCCCTTCAGTGCTCAAAGGGTTATATATTGACTTCCATCTCCCCCAGCTTAGCTTAAATCAAATCAATTGAAAGTCAAAGTAAGCCACATATCCGTGGTATTGGGGAGAACATTCTGGTAGACATCAATAAAACTTCAGAAGCAATCTACAATATAGGATTTAAATCTGTTTATTTATTTCTCAGATCAAGTATCTAAGGTAACAATGTCCCAAAATTAGTCCCCCAATTAAATAATACATAAAATATCTGCTTCACCTATAAAAGGCCAGTTAACCTGTTTAAAAACAAACAAACATCCAAGTCACTTTCCTTCTTGAAGAGCAATGTCCAGTGGAAGATACATGGGGCCAGCTCCGCGCCCGTTTACTTCCATATAAATCTAGAATATTGAAGTCAATGGAATCAAAGTCACTACACGTGTAAATCTGGAGCAGAATTTGGCCCCAAGTCCATATACATTGTGTTGGTCTCTACGGGGATATTTTAAATGGTTAATTCATCAGGCCTTAACAGATTACAAAGATTTGCATAACACTGTCAGCACTGTTATGGGAGTAAACATTTAAATTAGTATGAAGAGTTTGAATAAGTGACCTGCTCTTAATTTAGAGACGAACAAAGAGAGACATAAATACGTAAGACTCAGGCCTGGTTTACATTACAGTTATGGTCAACCTAAGGCAGCTTACATCGACCTAATTATGTCAGTGTGCACACTAGAATGCTACTTCTGTCGAAGTAAGTGGCCGTCTACACCGACATAACTACGAGAGGTGTGGCGCATATGTTGATGTAGTTAGGGTGACGCAGTGTCCGTGTAGACACTGTTACTTACATTGCCTTTGGACTGTGAGCCCGTGCACGGCTGACAGCTCTGGCTGTCAGCGGGGGCAAGGGGGAGTGGGCACAGCTGTGAACCCCAGGGCTACCAGGCTCCAGCTGTCAGTGTCTCACAATGCCCCACTTCAGTCGGCGGAAGCACTCCTGGTGAGGACGCGCCCCACTGACAGAAGGAGCAAGTGTGGATGTGAACCACTGCTTTAATTACTGCAGTGGCTAGACGTCAACTTAACATAAGTCGACTTAATATTGTAGCGTAGACAGGCCCTCTATCTCCCTGCACAGCTCCCCAGAGGAGCTCTGCTAGAAGATAGCGCATTAGCCAAGATTCACTTCAAGTAACTGATCAACTGTTTCCCACTCAGTGCTGAAATCCAGCATCACATACGCAGCCACCCACAAGAAATGACTTGACTAAATCACATTATTATATTTGTATTTTCAATTTGCTTGTAACCATGTTCCCTCAAAGCAAATTTAATGTACAGAATACCCCGTGATCTGGAAGCAGGGTGGCGTTGGTCCTCTCTATATAGACTCATATATGCTGTGACTTTACAACCTTGGGAATGGAGGTTGTTCGTAACTCTGAAATATCCGTAACTCTGAACAAAACTTTATGGTGCTTTCAAAAGTTTACAACTGCATATTGATTTAATACAGCTTTGAAACTTTACTACACAGAAGAAAAATGCTGCTTTTAACCATCTTAATTTAAATGAAACTAGCACAGAAAAAGTTTCTTTACCTCATCAAATCTTTTTTTAAAACTTCCCCTTTATTTTTTTAGTAATTTACTTTTAACACAGTACTGTACTGTATTTGGGTTTTTATGTCTCTGCTGCTGCCTGATTGTGTAATTCCGGTTCCAAATGTGGTGTGCGGTTGACCAGTCAGTTCGTAACTCTGAGGTTCTACTGTATTATCTACCTTCTAGGTTCTGTCTAAAGCCTTGTCTACACAGGAAAGTTTTACACAGGTATAACTCCAGGCGTGGACACACATACTAAAATAAGAATGGCTTTTTTCAGTTTAGCTTAAACCCCTTCCCAAGTGATATAAGCTAAATTTAAATAAAAGGCACTCTCATACCAGAATAAGAGTGTCCACAGAGAGAGTTATACTGGGATTAAATTCTCACCTTAGGTATACTCAACCAACACACACAAGGCCTAAGTCATGAGCCACAAAGACTCCCAGCAGCAAAGTTCTGAAGTGACCTGAATTACAACATAAAATTCCACCAAACACCACTCGAGGATCAGAGAAAACGTTTCCCCATTTACCCAGCTACTCTGTCACTCCCACTCCGCCCCGCCCTGACACCTAATGCTCTTTTCCACTGCTCAGCAGCCACTGAATCACCACAGATGCAGCGAGCTGCTTTCATACAGCAGAAACATCACTGCAGCACCATTGGGAGACCCCAGAAGGGAAATCCATGAATATGTAGACTATAGTACGCTCTTGTTCTCCCATTGCCCTTTGCCCTTCTCTGGCACCTCCAAGGATCTCACAGCACTTGTCAGAGACTAATGAGGCCTTGCAGCTCCTGCGTGAGGTAGGTAAATATCAAAATCCCCATTTTACAGTTGAGGAAATTGAAGCACAGAGAAATTAACTTATTTGTCCATGGTCAGAGCTGGGTAAAGAACCCTGACTGCCCACCTCCTACTCTACACAATAGAAAATGATTGCCTAAGGCACATTTCTCTCAGGAGGAACAAGATCAATTTTCAGCAGATCAGGAGATGGATTAGCTAGGATTACACAGTGCTCACTTATTAGCTGCTTCTCTGCCAACCAAAGAACACAGGAAGACAAAACGATTGTAGATGGACTGACCCAAATAAAAGAGCCTCCCAGCAAGCCTGGAGGACAGTGAGATGGGACATAATTGAGGAGACACAGTCCTGCCAACAGCCTGATCCAGATGAAAACTTGTAACAGAGAGCAAGGAAAACCAAGACAAACCCAATCGTACTTTATGTTGTAGCCGGACATACCCAGTGTCCCATTAATATTCCATGTAAATAAAAGCCTAATTAAAACAACTGGTTGCCAGACAGGTTAAAAAAATACCTTTGAAAACTATTAAATATATAGATTGTATTTCCTAAAAACAATATATTAAGTCACATCTTTAAGAGAGATGAATGTAAGGCGTGGTCTTCGGGGCCTGAAAGCCATGTGGTTGTTGGGACCCCACTGTTAAGGAATTGGGGGGTGGGGTGGCTGGACATCTGTCACCCCCATCAGAACGTGGAAACGCTATAAGCACTGTCCGTTGCTCTGCCCCCAGAGCAACCTGTAAATCACTCACTTAGCACCAGGATTAGCCGTATGGAATGAACTGCTCTCTCAGACCATTCTCCTATCGACGTGATCATCGGTGACTTCTGCATTGTGCACGTGAGTTGTACGGCATGACAGTAGCCTTTCTTCACATTAGATTATTGCATTCAATCCTCTTCAACTCGCCAGTATGTCCCAAGGCCTGTACATGGAGATGAGCCATCCCACCGTGACCTCCCTGCAGCTCTATCGCTTCCCCCACCCCACTTGCCTGTTGTTTCCTAACAGGGAGGCAAACAGAAAATGGAAGTTCTATTGAGGCCATTATCTGGAGCTTTAGAACAGCAATTAAGCATGAGGGCAAGGCAGAAGATTAGCTCCATCAGCAAAGAAACCCTGAAGGCCTCTTGGAGGGGAATTTTGTTGTTCAAATGAGCGACTCTCTCTTTTAGCAGCTGAGCACATTTTATACCTGGGATTCCTGCACTGTCACACCCCCCTCAGTGAAATGCATCCAACGGGATTTCTTAAAGGCTCACAGTCCATTTTAGCATCCACAAATTAACTCTACCGAATAGTAGAACATGACCCTCCTCTGAGTTTTGCTGCAGCAGTGGCGGGGTGGGAGCAGGAAGGGTATCTGGTTCGGACACAGAAGGTAGCAGCTTTTCCCAAGAACTGGGTGATGGCTTCCATGTCCCCTTTCCAGGAGATCAGCTGGGTGAACTCAGCCCAGCGTTCTCATGCTATAAGAGGACATCAGCAAGAGTGGTTCCTTGACACGATCCAGGAGCTCTAAGCACCTGTGCCTCTGCCTGCTTCTTCACAGTTTCCGTTAAGCGACATGCCTGTCAGAGCCACTCCCTCCTCGGGGTCCTGCAGGCCACCTACAAGGAGCAGGGAAAGGGAGACACACCAAGGTCACTGAGGAAGATGCACACAGGAGTCCCAGTTTTCAGCACTCTCATTTTATGCAAATCGTGACTCATATTTTTAATTAAGGATCAAGGTTTAAGCAATAAATTAACCATAAATTGGAGACTTGTCATAATCGGCTCCAATTTTGGGCATTCTGGCAGCGTACAGGATTTTAAACTAACACCAGAAGGTGACTCACTTCACCCGCTTGTGGGTAAGGAGCTCTGGGTCCCACTCCTGGAATCTGATCCACACAGACAACCCCCATTCCCATGTGATGCCTCATCAACTTCCATCCGTCTGCCTGAAACCGATTGCAGGATCAGGGCTTGAAGGTTTATTGGACTGGATTTTCTTGCCACCACAATTTTCAATGAAGAAAATGCCCTTTCTGTACCAAATATTAACTTTTACAAACTGGGCATTTCAGTGCTTTGCCCATTTAATCTGAAGCCCCCCGTTGCACCATTGTCACCTAACCAATTATTATAACAAGAGGGTTCTCCATGTGGGGTGTCCTCCTCACCATCGGTCATGGATCAGTTTGGAAATTAGCAAAAAGATACATTGACTATGAATAAAGGTATTATTCAGGACTCCTCCTGAAGCAGTCTGTAGCCTCTGGCCAACGGTGCTCCTGCAGAAAGGGGATCGTTGATGGGAAATGCAAGAATTGTGGGAAGAGGATTTGAACCTGCATTTCCAAAGGATCTCAAGAGTGATCTGGAGTAGGGCTCGAAGTCATTATTTAGAAACAGGGATAAGTTCTGTGTCCGGCCTTGTCTACACTAGACAGTGGCATAGTTATACCAGCAAACCTTCCTAGTGGAGATGCAGCTTATACCAGCAAAAGAGTTCTTTGGCCGGTATAGCTTACACCAGTTCGATGAACGAAATAAATAATCTATACCAGCGAAAGGACCCCTTTGGCAGTGTAACTGCATCTTCACTGGGGCTTTTGCCAGCACAGTTATGTCAGTTAGAGGTGTGAATTTTTTCACTCTTTTAAATGACATCACTTTGCCAGCAAAACTTAAGTGTAGACCAAGGACATGGCTACACTTGCAGATGTAGAGTGCTGGGAGTGAAACCAGCCCCGGAAAGCGCAGTAGGGAAAGCGCTGCGGTGTGTTCACACTGTCAGATTCAAGCACACTGGCATGGCCGCATTAGCAGCTCTTGCAATGCCACAAAGAGCAGTGCATTGTGGTAGCTATCCCAGCATGCAAGTGGCTGCAACATGCTTTTCAAAGGGGTGGGTTGGGTGGAGTATGACAGGGAGTGTGTTGTGTGTATGTGGGGGGAGAGACAAGACAACATGCTGACATGCTAAGTTCAGACAGCAGCAGACACCCCTCCCCTCCACCTCTCTCTCACACACTCTCAACAGCAGCATTCCACATTAATGGCTTGCTTTGTCCCAGAGCAGATAAGCATGCCGGCTGTCAGAAACGGAGCTTTGAAAGGACATATCCGCATTCCTACAGCCAATTCCAAAACAATGACAAGAGTGGCCACTTGGCTTAGGGGGATTATGGGACGTTTCCGGAGGCTGATCAAAGCGCAGTAATGCAACACCTTGTTCACACTGAAGTTGGGGCGTTTCACCCAAGGCGCAGCAAGCGTTGTGCTTCTTGTGGAGGTGGATTACCAGGAGCGCTCCAGTCTGCAGAGTCCAGGCACTCTACCTGCCTTGCCAGTGTGGACGGGTCATGAGTTAGGGCGCCTGGGGCTGCTTTAATGCGCTCTAACTTGCAAGTGTAGCCAAACCCAAAGTTTCAGTGACACCCATAGAAGTCCACTGACTTCAGTGACACTACATGTGTAAATAAAGAGAGAACTGGGCCACTGCGTTTTTGTTGGACCAGATAAAACACCTAAAAGATCCTGGCAAAGCACCTACCAACCCAGGGTCCTCTGCTACTGCAATAAAGACAAGGGATGGGAGAGGTAATGAGTCGGACCCAGCAGGGCGAGAGAGAACTGGAACATTCATGGTGGTGAGACGGTGAGAGACTGAAGAAAGCGGGTGGTCAGAACAGGGGGGATGTGAGTTTAGAAGACCTGGAGGGTACAGATGCACATATAGCAGGGGCTGTCTGCCTTGGCGCGGTGCAGGTAGCTGCCAGACAGCACTTTGAAGACGCTAATTGCTGCGGCCCAGTTAGCGATTCATAGTTCAGACATGTTCCAGCAAATCCACTGCCACATTACAACCAACACTGCGTGCAGGCCACTGCAACCACTGCAGTGAGCACAGGTAGATAGAGGGACCCAGCGCTGTGCTCATAAAATACCGGAGCAAGACAACACTAAGAGAAACATCCCAGCCAGCGTGCTTCCGGGATGGTCTCTCAGCATTTGGATGTTGTGGGGGTGGCTGAGCCTATGGTGTGATATGTGCTGCCACCAGAGCCAGAAGATAGATTCCAGGGGCATTTAGTACTGATGCATCAGCCGGTATATACGGAGACGATGTTCTCCCTAAGGAAGCCAGCCAACATTAGGCTTGGGAATCTGAGCCTGCTGGGGTTTCACTAGAAAAGGACCATAGGCCAGACCTTGTGGCTTAGTGGGAGCACTCGGCATCATCATAGGGGAGATTCAGGTTCCAAATCTTCTCCCGATCGACCATTCCTTACACTGGAAAGATCTGGGAATGCTGCCGGGGAAAAAAAACACGGTTGCCACACATCATAAGATACATCTGTCCTGCTAGGAGCCCACTGCGGGACGTGTGGAGAACACAAGCACCTCCAGGGCGCTGAACATACCCTCATGAAGGTTGTTGGCAGCTTTAGCCAAACGGCCTCTTCTCTGGCTCCTCCTGCCCCAGGGGATGCACTGCAGGAGGGAGGGGAATCTCCGCTTCTCTCTCTCCTCCCCACCTTGGAAATAAAAGAGCACGGGGAGTTCAGAATGTTATCAGCAAGAGACAGGGCTTTCTCAACGCCGTGCTGGCAACAGGGGGACCTGGCTTATTCTGGGTCACGTACAGTATGGCTGTTCCCTGCTGGCAGACAGTGGTACCCCCATGCTACTCAACCTTGGTGTGTTGGAAATTTGGGCCTCTATATAGAATTCACCATGTGAAATCATTAAACGGTACCCAGAAATCCATTTCTCCCCTGGTGAAAATTCTTACCTAGTCTGGACACATTCAGAATAAGGACTAACTATTTGTCCACACTTTCTTGCTGCCAAGAATTTCCTTAATGATTTTCACTAACAATTGGGTTTGGATGGGTTTTGTGTTTGCTTCAATGAGTGGACTGTCGGCAGCCTCAGGAGGCACAGCAAGGAAGCTGGCACGGATTTGCTCGTGAACACACACAGCAGCTTTGAGAACTAAAACAAAAATGAAGAGACAAGGCAGGCAAAAACCTCACATCCTGCATCTGGGCCTCGGCCCCAGACACTTATATTATTGCTCCCTATTGATTGACTAGTTCTCCTCTCCCAGGGAGTCCTGCTGGAAATAGAGAGATTTGTATTGTACTTAACAATGCCGTAGAATCTGCATAAGGAAAAGAACATTGCAGAGGAAGGTGAGTTACTATTAGGTCTTGAGCCTTTACTGTAAAATACTAGGGGTAGCGGCATTAGTCTGTAGCAGCAAAAACAACGAGGAGTCCTTGTGGGATCTTAGAGACTAACAAATTTATTTGAGCATAAGCTTTCGTGGGCTAATTCACAGGAGTCAAGACTGTTGGGGGTTGTCTGTAAGCGAGGACTGGCCTGTCTCCCAAGGTCTGTGAGAGTGAGGGATCGTCCTTCAGGATAGGTTGTAGCTCCTTGATGATGCACTGGAGAGGTTTTAGTTGGGAGCTGTAGGTGGTGGCTAGTGCCATTCTGTTACTTTCTTTGTTGGGTCTGTCCCGTAGTAGGTGTCTTCTGGGTATCAGAGCCCCTTCTTGTCAACTGTTGGAAATGGGCCACATCCACCCTCACTGAATTGGCCTCGTTAGCACTGACCCCCCACCTGGTAAGGCAACTCCCATCTTTTCGTGTGCTGTATATTTATACCTGCCTACTGTATTTTCCACTCCATGCATCTGATGAAGTGGGTTATAGCCCACAAATCTTATGCCCAAATAAATTTGTTAGTCTCTAAGGTGCCACAAGGACTCCTCGTTGCTTTTGTAAAATACTAGGATATTAGACAAGGGTAGTTTTACTCTCACACGGCCTCACGTGACAAGCAGCTTATTGCAACTATCGAGTATCCCCAAATCCTAGGATATGCAATATCTCATCCACCAATCAAACCTTATCTCCTAGAAACGTAAGTTATCAGCGGCTTTAGCAGTGACTCTCCTGACTAAGGCAATCAATCTTACGCAACATTAAGCTGCACAAAGTGATCGATATTTCCTCTTGACCAACAAAACAAATCCCCCAATAAAATAATTTTTACATGACTGTTCCCCCTTTTAGTCCCTAGTGAACATGGATGAATGTCATGCTCAGGGAAAATAGGTTAGCACACTAGCATTTCCCCTCTTAGCGCTTGGGTGCCCGATCTAGTTAAGGCCGTAAATGTAAGTGGATATCCATTGTCTCCATCCACATCTGGCTGGGTCCGCACTTAAAACGGTTACCAATGTTGCTGCATTGGTCAGGGGTGTGACCAACACAGCTATGCCAACAAAACCACCAGTGCAGAGTGCTTCTGTCAGCATAGCTAATTTTTTAGGGGATAAGGGGGTGTTCCTACATCAGCAGGAACATAAGAACAGCCATACTGGGTCTGACCAATAGTCCACATATCCCAGTATCTTGTCATCCAACAGTGGCCAATGCCAGATGCTTCAGAGGGAATGAACAGAACAGGGCAATTATTGAGTGATCGAGAAAACTCCTTCCATCAGCATATACTGCATCTACACTAGGGGGCCGTGCTGACATAAGTTACATCTTATAAGTTACACTACAGACCCTAAGTTCAAGAGAGGTGTGGGACCAGAATAGCAAAGAGGTACTGAAGTTCAGGTCAGTACTGTGAGGAGCTGGGTGGTGGCATGGCTTGAATAGCAGAGAGCTGCAGAGCAAAACTCAGATGCAAGGGGAAAGGCAAAGGCTTGTCGACACAGAAAAGTTGTACTAGTAATACCAGTATAGTTACACTCTTGCATAAGAAAAGGAGGACTTGTGGCACCTTACTAGTACTAGATGCATCCAATGAAGTGAGCTGTAGCTCACGAAAGCTTATGCTCAAATAAATTGGTTAGTCTCTAAGGTGCCACAAGTCCTCCTTTTCTTTTTGCGAATACAGACTAACATGGCTGCTACTCTGAAACTCTTGTATAAGAGTGGCTTTTTTCAGTGTAGCTTACATCCCTTCCCAGTGACATCAACCAAACCAAGAACAAAACACACTTAGTCCAGAATAAGCATCCTCCCGCCCATACTGGGCGTTATACCAGGATAACTCCAGCAGTTTAAAGTCACACCTTATTTATAACAGTGTAACTTTCCCAGATAGACATGGCATGCCCTCATAACACTGCTACAGGCTCAAATCACTGCTGTTCATCCCTCACACAAGTTTAAAAATACTATTCCCCCATGCATTGGTGGTGAAAGCAATTAGGGCCAACCCCTGAAGTCCTGACTTCTGTGAATTCTCCTCATGCACATGAGTAAGCTCACTAGGGCTTCTAGCATGGGTGTGGGTTGTTATCACATGCACCAGTTTAAAACTACCATCTCCCCAGGCCAGCTACAGTGACAAGCATCCTCCTGACACCTGAAACATGAGTGTATGGGACCCTATGCAAACAGGCCTTCTGAAGCACCCACTGAAGGCTTCTAGAGATGCTGCTCTCTTCTTTGCTACCTGCCAGGTTATTCCCACCACCGCCCGAATTAAGAGCAGGAGGGGGGTCTATCAATATTTGTGAGAATCCACAAGCACCAGTTTCCCTAGCATCAAAGCAAAGCTGCTAAGGCAACATGGTAACGCACAGAGGGATATGTTTTTCCATCTCTGCTGCTGTTCTAGTGGGATGTTGGAACCAAAAGGATCCAGAGGGTTCTGGGGCACTTGGAAGAGTGACTTAAAGAAGAGGCAAAAAGAAAAGGAGTACTTGTGGCACCTTAGAGACTAACCAATTTATTTGAGCATGAGCTTTCGTGAGCTACAGCTCACCAGTGAGCTGTAGCTCACGAAAGCTCATGCTCAAATAAATTGGTTAGCCTCTAAGGTGCCACAAGTACTCCTTTTCTTTTTGCGAATACAGACTAACACAGCTGTTACTCTGAAACCTGTCATTAAAGAAGAGGGTGTGAAGCAAATGCCGAGACCCCAGCAGTATTCCCTGGATGGGAGAGAGATGGGCGAAGGACAGCAGTGTCAGGCACATGGAAGTGAGAGACGGAAAAGCTGTGTGTTCCTGCCTCAGTACAAAGTCACAGGCACAAAGATTGCAACCGCCACTAGCTTCGGAGCACCAGAAGAGGGCAGTACAGGCTTGAAAGGGGTGACGGGACTAGGCCGGGATCAGATCCAAGCTTCCCCAAAGTGCAGATTCAGGGTTCTAGGTCAGCTCATTAGAGAGATAGCACCTAAACCACGAAGATCGTGGCTGGATTCATTCAGACCTGAAGTTCAGGGAAAGGGAAGAGTAATCTGATTGCTTCTGATTCCATCTGGATAGAAAAGGAGGACTTGTGGCACCTTACAGACTAACCAATTTATTTGACCATAAGCTTTCGTGAGCTACTGTAGCTCACGAAAGCTCATGCTCAAATAAATTGGTTAGTCTGTAAGGTGCCACAAGTACTCCTTTTCTTTTTGCGAATATAGACTAACACGGCTGCTACTCTGAAACCTGTCATCTGGACACAGACAGGCCCAAGTCGCGAATTTCAGATCCGGCTCCAAATCTCACTGCTGGATCTCTGTTACACCCCAGGTTCCTGGCCTGTGGGATCCAACGTCCCAGTCTGGGTACAAACCTAACAGAGGTTTCACCTGCAACTGTGTGAGACCAGTTATGTGGAGTGACCCAGGCAAAGGGGAACATAGGGATGAGGGTCAGGCCCCTTTTGACAGAAGACACACGACATCAGCCCAATATGGTTCAGTGGAGCGCAGAAGGGGAGCAGACAGGCCAGTTGTCCCAAGGCTTGCGGGGACAGAGGTCCCATGTCAGCGAGCTGGGTCTGAGCTGTCTGCAGCTAATGACAGAGCCCGCGGGGGGGGGGGGGGGGGGGGAAGGGGAGGCCTGGTGGCTCCACCAGCAGAAGAAAAGAAACTGGAGCCAGGACCAGGAGGGCAAACAACAGGAACATGAGGAGAAGCCAAGAAATAACATCCCGGAGCAGGGATCTGAGGCATGGGAAAGAAACACCCAGGAACAGGGATGTCACTGAGTCAGTGTCTCCTCCTGTATGCACGGAAGTGGGGAGGAGACACAACCCAACCCCAAACCCTGCAAATGTCTCCCCTGCCCCATGGCACCAGCCATGCAGCTGGCTCCTGACCCAGGGAAGAGGAAAGGCCTTGTCTGGAAACTCAGCAAGGGGGCTTTTCTGTCCCGCCCCTACAGGTTTCTCCATGGGAAGGAGCCAACTAGGCCAAAGGGAAAAATAAAAGCACTAAGGGCAAGGGGAGGGTGAAGAGGGGTGACCTCTGAGAGGGGACTACAGGGGCTGCCGCCTCTGGGGAGCCTATGAATCCTGGCTGAGGGCCTATGGATCTAGAGAGGGTCTGAGGAAAATGCATTTGAGGACAGCTGCAGGCAGAGATGCTGGAACAGTTAGTATAGCGGGGGTGCTGAGAGCCATTGAACCAAACTGTAAACCCTGGATATGATGGAAACCACTTCAAGCTGGGGGGGTGCAACAACACCCCTAGTTCCAGCACCTATGGCTGGAGGGACCCCTTAGGGCAAGAGGAGCAGGGAGGAGTCTTTGGATGGGATCCAAGCATGTGGGGAAAGCCGTGAAAGTGAGGGGGGAAAGAGAGAAAACAGGACAGACTGAGGCAAGTACTTTCAAAAAGGGAAGTGAGCTGCAGGGGTGCGGAGGCAGGGTTGAACTGCCATTTGTTTGCACATAAATATGCAGATGAGGTACTGGTATACCTACACCAGTTAGGGGTATGATAATCTAGCAAAGTGTTTATACCAGTATCGCCCCTAATGGGGACGTAGTTATAGGTGTAAAGCTTATTCCCCTCACAGGAATAAACTATACCGGTATCTTTATACTAATGTAAATGTGGCTACACGTACACTACAGACTTCGGCCAGCATAGCTACATTGGTCAAGGGTGCGATAAGACATCGTCTGTGACTGATGCAGCTGTGCAGGCAAAAGCCCCGAGAGGAGATGCAGTTATACTGGCAACACCATGATTCTGAGCAAGCTGCTTGTTCTGCTCCAGGAGAACCAGAGTGCGAGCAGCTGGAATACACTGTACCAGGAAAAGCACACTTACGCTATGTGAGACACAGGGCCAGAGAGAGCTAATTAACTCACAGACTGACCTAACCCATGGCCCGAACTTTAAAGACTTGTTAGGAAGAGATGTAAATAAACAGAGCTTTGAAATGCAAGCCTGCATTGTTAGAGATAGAAGGGTAGGTGTTTGCTCAGGGCTTGTGAGGTAAGCAAACAAGTCTTGTCTATTGCTATGGCTTTGATTCAAAGATCAAAAAAGGAATATTAACATTTAGGAAAACACTTGAGTGAAATAGGGTTATTGTCTATATGTCTCTTTGAAGGTTGGGGTAACCTGTATCTGAACTGTTTAATGGATAAATTACCTTATGCTAATTGCCATGATGTTTGGGAGACAAAGTTAAGCCTGTTGTTTTCTCAGGCCAAGAGGTTGCTGGAAATATATAAAAACCTTGGGACATGATCCTTCTTCATCTCGGATCTGCTTTGGGTTTCAAGAAGGGGAAACCCTAAGCCATAAGAATTGAGATCCCCAGTCACTGACTGGAGTCACCCTGAATATGGACATTGGACTATAACCTATGGACTATTTCTAAAAGAACTTCTGGCAATTAAAACTCACCATCTCTGCTATAAGAAAAGGAGTACTTGTGGCACCTTAGAGACTAACCAATTTATTTGAGCATGAGCTTTCGTGAGCCACAGCTCACTTCATCAGATGTGTACCGTGGAAACTGCAGCAGACTTTATATACACACAGAGAATATGAAACAATACCTCCTCCCACCCCACTGTCCTGCTGGTAATAGCTTATCTAAAGTGATCAGCAGGTGGGCCATTTCCAGCACAAATCCAGGGGGGGGTTGTGGGGGGGTGGAGGGTGAGAAAACCTGGATTTGTGCTGGAAATGGCCCACCTGCTGATCACTTTAGATAAGCTATTACCAGCAGGACAGTGGGGTGGGAGGAGGTATTGTTTCATATTCTCTGTGTGTATATAAAGTCTGCTGCAGTTTCCACGGTACACATCTGATGAAGTGAGCTGTGGCTCACGAAAGCTCATGCTCAAATAAATTGGTTAGTCTCTAAGGTGCCACAAGTACTCCTTTTCTTTTTGCGAATACAGACTAACACGGCTGTTCCTCTGAAACCATCTCTGCTATGCATCTGGACCTCAAGAAATTGAACTCAAGTCTATATGTATATTGATCTTTCAACCAACTCTCTCTCTTTTCTTTTTTAATAAATTTTAGTTTAGTTAATAAGAATTGGCTATTAGCGTGTATTTTGGGTAAGATCTAAGTTTTCATTTGATCTGGGTCTGGGGCTTGGTCGTTTGGCATCAGGAGAACTTTTTTTCTTTTATTGGGGTATCAGTTTTCATACTGAGTCATCCCCATAAGGAGTGATGCTGGTGGCAAGACTGGGAAACTGGAGTGTCTAAGGGAATTGCTTGTGAGGCTTATGATTAGCCAGTGGGGTAAAAACCAAAGTCCTCTCTGTTTGGTGGGTTTGACATGCCTTAATAATAAAGGACACCCAGCTTTGGGCTGTAACTGCCCTGCTCTAAACAATTTGTCCTGAATTGATACTCTCAGTTGTGTCCCACCAAAGGCAGCATCTACAATAAAAGCACCCTGCTGGTATAACACAGCAGTATACCTATACTGGTAAGGCTCCCATTGTAGACATGACCTGCATCCACACTTGTACCTCTTTAATTATACCGGTATAGTAAACCCAGTACAACTTGTGCCAAGCCCCAAGATAGTGCTGCTGAGACAGAAATGGGTTCAAGACCATGGCACCAATCAGCTGTAACCAGTGGTGTTCCTTACAGCTATGAATTATTATAATACATGTATACCTGCCATCCCGTCTTGTGCCGTGATCCCATCAGACCTAATGAACTGAGCCGTCAGGATGGGTCAGTCCTGGGCTGGGAAACCCACAGGGGCACCTGGGACTAACTAAGCAGGCGGCACGGTTTGTTCTGAACCAATGCCCCAGCAAGGAAATCCGTGCTACTGGTGTGGGATCATGGCCATTCCCGGGGCGTTCACTGAAGGAAGGCGGGGGGTTGGCTCTGGAGCGCTTGCCCATCCCAACTCAGGGAGCCACCTTCCCCTTGCACATCCCAGGGCCTTTTGATTCCACTACCCCCCACCCAAGCGCGGCTGTGTGTCCAGCGAGACCCAGCGCCTTCCAGCCGCAGCTGCCTGCCCCATTGTGTCATTTGTAAGAGACTCTGGGCTGAGAGCTGGTGGCGACCGGCAGGGCCGGCGCTCCTGGATGCCAGCCGGTGCTGACACAGCTGCTCAGCTCGCCAGGGGGTGCACACGGCAACCCGAGGCCAGAAAGAAACCCGACGCCCCCGGCCTGCTCTCTCCCCGCTCCCCCCATGCCCCAGCCCCCGGGCACCCCGCCCCGTACCTGCTCGGTGCTGCAGGGCCGCTCGCAGGGCTCGGCAGGCGGCTCTGCGGACCTCCAGCGTCCCGCCCGGGCGGCCGGGGCTGTAGGCGGCCGCTTGCACCGTGTCCCGCAGCCCGGCCCCGCGCCGCCCTCCCTGGAAGACCTCGCAGAGCAGCGCCTCCAGCCGCCGCTGCGCCGCCGCCGCCTCCTGGCCGGGGCCGGGCTGCACGATCACCCCCACCAGGGCGGCCGGCGGGCCCCGGGGCAGCCGGCTCCGCAGGTCCCGCGCGATCTCCCGCAGCCGGGCCCGGGCCCGCGGCGGCTGCAGGGAGCCGGCCCGGCAGAGCAGGAAGATGAGCGGGGAGCGGATCTCCCGGCCGGCCGCGCCGCCGGGGCCGAGGCACACCCGGACCTGGGGAGCCGGCTTCCCCCGGGGCTGCCCCCCGCTGCCCGCCGCGGGCCCGGGCTGCTCCCCGAAGAGCTCCCGGGCAAAAGCCCCCAGCAGCGCCCGGGTCTCCCCCGCTTCCAGCACCTCCCCGACCAGCAGCACCTCGGGCTTCCCCCCGACCAGCTCCACCAGGGCCTGGAGCTCCTGCAGCGCCTGCTCCCCGCGGCCCGGGGACTCCCCCTCCATGGCCCTCCGGGCGCTCCCCGTCTCCCTCTGCAGCGCCGCCCCGGGGCCAGGGCTCAGCGCCTTCCCTGCCCCGCCCCGGGATCCCGGCACAGGCCGCCCCCTCGCCGCTTCAGGCTGTGACCGGGCTTCTTCCCCCTCGGCTCCTGCTCCTAACTCCACGTGGGGTGCAGGGGCGGGGAACCAGGGGCCCAGAACGCTCCCGGCCCAGCCGCTTGTGTGGGCCAAAGATCCCCCCGCCCCAGGCTTCTAGGATCAGCTGGAACCAAGGCGTGCTGCCGGGGGTCAGGCCTGCCCTGGTTGTAGTCTTCCAATTGCGGCAACAGCCACACCAGGATAGAAGGAAAATCCAGAGACTAGGAGGTGCCGCAGAGGGGTCAGAGTTATAGTCCATCTAGGCCCCTCTGCTGTCTCCAGGAATGGCCAGTACCAGAGCTTCAGGGGGAGTGTGCAGAACTGGGTAGTTATGGGAATCCCGCGCTCCCCTCTGTTCTCCTCCCGGCAGAGGTTTAGGAGGGTCACCCTGAGCATGGTCGGTCACCCTCTTGGCTAACCGTCCACTCCTCAATGAATTTATCTCATTCTTTTTTTAACCCAGTTGTACTTTTGGCAATCACAGCATCCCCTGGCGAGGAGGTCCATAGGTTAGTTGCGCACAGTGTGAAAAAGAGTGGAAGGAAAATTCTGCTTTGGGCATCAGAAGCCAGCTGACAATAGAGAAAAGTCCTCTTGCCCCGGAATCCTGAGCCCCTCAGACACTGGGAGGAGGAAGAGAGAATGAGAAATGAACAGCACAACCAACTGCACACAGTACATCAACCCTCTTCCTGCTGTGAATCTTGCCCTGATAACTAACTGAGCGACCCCCAGGGTTTGTTAGTATTATTATAGTAAAGCTGCTAGAAGCTTCAGTCACGGACCAGGACCCCATTGTGCTAGGCGCTGTACCAACTCAGAAGGCAAAGATAGTCCCTGCCCCAAGGAGCTTGCAATCAAGTATAAAGGATGGATTCAGGCAAATGGGGCAACAGAAGGAGAGAGGCGGTGGTCACAACACACCAGCAGCCTAACTGCTGTCAAAGCTTTTTGTAGGCCTCCTGGCCTCACAGCAAAGGGGAGTTTTGAGGGATTTGAAGGTGGAGTGCGACTGATACAACCTGACAAGGTGCAGGAGAAAGACTCCTGCGTGTGGGTGTGATGGGACTGGAGGGCAAAGAGGAACATACCTGACAGAAGAAAGGCGAAGTGCATTAGTTCATCCAGTTGGTACTATAATATATAGTACACATATATAGTTCATGCCACAACCTTTGTTTGAAAGGAATTAAGGTTAGGTGAGTGGGACATCCTCCTAGCCAAAAGCCTTAAAAGCAATGACTTGCCAAGTTACAGGAGACCTTCTAACTGTACCGTACCACCCACACAGCTACCCACACAGCTTCGGTCCACAAACACTGACAGACTATGCAGCCTCCTCACAAGCCACTCCAACAGTGCCATAAACACACAACACATTAATCCCCCTCCTGTAGAATGCAAACTCTTACTCACAGGGTCGGCAGCATTAGCAAATGTTCAGTACTAACCCAGGTGCACACACCAAGCGTGCGGGGAGGGAGGGGGAGGGGAAGTACCACATCTAAGTGGAGGTTTTGTGTTACCAAATATAAAGCCCCAGTTGTGAGTGGTGAAATAACTGTAGTGGACCTTGGCCGTGACGGTTGCAGAGGCGAGCTCACTGTGATCACTAAGCATACAAAGAAGTCCTATTCACATGAACGGACATCAAGTGACACACAGCCAGGGGAGAACATACCCTGAAGTTTGCAAAATGGACAAATGTGTGTCAGCTGGGCTGGGAAGCTGCATGGATCAGCATCAAGGCAGATGGGATTCTCATGCTGCTTTTCCTTGATAAACAGGGCCACTCACAGTCCTAAGAGAGCCCCCGGCAGAAGGTGCAATGCTAATCATTTACAGGGCTTCCAGTTGACGGGCTGACACCCAACACTGTATGTTTAATGAGCCACATCTGATTTGCAAAGAAATTGGAATCTATTTAGCCACCAGTGGCTATGTGCAGTCCTCTTTAACATTACAGAGACAGGAAATAATGGGAGGGTGGAGCATTTACTTTCACTCCACAATGATAGTCCAGCCAGACACAGACAAGCTAAGAGGAAGAGTCAGGGCAGGGGTGCTCAAGCTGGGGATGAAGGTCCCAACCACCCTGCCATTCCCTGTTGCTAAATGGGAAGGCGGGGCGGAGGATGTCCCAGTATAGACACGGAGGTCATGCTAGGGAAGAGGTTGAGAACCATTCAGTTAGGGGACTAGGTTACATTCTCTCCCTACCAATGACTGGTGCCAGGGAAGCCCACAGCGAGTGTGGTTTGATGATGTGGCTAACTGGATGGGATGTGGTGTCACCCTTCTCTGGGATGTGTGAAGACAGCAAAACATGGAGAAAGATCACTGGCCAATGACTCGCCTGGGTTGTGTTCACTGTGATGTGACTTTATGGTGCTTTGCACTCTGAGAATAATAAAAAAATACATACATTCCTTACATCAGGCTGGCAAAGTCCCAAACTTTATAAGGTACTGTTCCACCTCAAAGGCCTGCCCAAGATGTGAAAGAATCAGTGGTTTAAACATTAGGCATGAAAGCTCTCAGGTCACAGGAATCACCAGTTTGGGGTGTGGCAATGACGTCACCCCTTCCTTCCTCCAATGGAGTTCCATGACATTTACAGAAGGGCTGTAACATTTATGGCTGCTTGTGCACCCTGACCAGCACCATTTCAGTTTGCAAGCATGCTGGCTGCAGGGCCCCTGCTAAAACAAGGGTTGTGAGCTGTGACAGGTTGGATCACAGAAACCCCCTTGGAAACTACCACCTGATGTGTCTAGACTACCTCTAAGCCTGTTTTCCCTGCCAGCTTGGGACTTCAGTCCCTTGCCTGATTTTAGCCAGACACACTTGCCTGCTACAAACACAGACCCAAGTCTGAACCATGTCCCCCACAAACTGCAGACTTAACTGAAAACAGCTTAAGAAGTGTTCCTATCTCCAGCACTCAGATACCCAACTCCCAATGGGGTCCAAATCCCAAACAAACCCATTTTACCCTGTATAAAGCTTATACAGGGTAAACTCATAAATTGTTCACCCTCTATAACACTGATAGAGAGAGTTGCACAGCTGTTTACCCCTCTCCCCCCCTGGTATTAATACATACTCTGGGCTAATAAGTAAAAGGTGATTTTATTAAATGCAAAAAGTAGGATTTAAGTGGTTCCAAGTAATAACAGACAGAACAAGTAAATTACCAAGCAAAATAAAATAAAACACGCAAGTCTAAGCCTAACACAGTAAGACAATGATTACAGATGAAATCTCATCCTCAGAGATGTTCCAATAAGCTTCTTTTACAGATTAGTCTCCTTCTAGTCTGGGTCCAGCAATCACTCATGCCCCAGTAGTTACTGTCCTTTGTTCCAGTTTCTTTCACGTATCCTTTGGGAGTGGAGAGGCTACCTCTTGAGCCAGCTGAAGACAAAATGGAGGGTTTTCCCAGGAGCTTATATAGTTTCTCTCTTGTGGGTGGAAACCCCTCTCTCCCCCTGTGTAGAATCCAGCTACAAAATGGAGTTTTGGAGTCACCTGGGCAAGTCACAGGTCCATGCTTGACTCAGTTTTCTGCAGGACGTTCCCAGGAAAGCTCAGATGTGGGTTGGTGCCTATCAAAGTCCATTGTTAACCAAGTACTCCCAATTACTTGAATAACCCCTTCACTCTATGTTGACCACATCTCCCTTAGGTGTTTTCTACAGCAAACACTTTAAATACAAGCTATGCCAATGCTCATAACTTCAGATATAAAAATCATACATGCATACGAATAGGATGAATACATGCAGAAAAACATAACCTTTGCAGAGATATGTTACATGGCATATCTAGCATAAAACATATTCCAGTTATGTCATATTTACACTCATAAGCATATTTCTATAAAGCATTATGGGGTGCAACATCACATGAGTACTTTGCACCATCACAACCCTGCTCCAAGCATACTTTCTTCCACAGGGGCTTGCCCCCTGAGTTAGACCAGAAAGAGCTGGCTTAGCCCAGGTGAGTCATAGGCAAGTGACTCGTGAAAGTAACTTAATAATTGACAAACACTGATAAAGAGGGGAGAATCTTAACTAGGGATCACATTCTGCTGTCATAAGACCATATGTTGACCTACTTCATTGACAGCAAGGTAACCCACTTCTGAAAAGAATGGGCCCTGTACTAAAGCTATACAGGTTTCAGAGTAACAGCCGTGTTAGTCTGTATTCATAAAAAGAAAAGGAGTACTTGTGGCACCTTAGAGACTAACCAATTTGTTTGAGCATAAGCTTTCGTGAGCTACAGCTCACTTCATCGGATGCATAACGTGGAAAGTATAGAAGATCTTTTTATACACACAAAGCATGAAAAAATGGGTGTTTTCCACTACAAAAGGGGTAAACACCCATTTTTTCATGCTTTGTGTGTACAAAAAGATCTTCTATACTTTCCACAGTATGCATCCGATGAAGTGAGCTGTAGCTCACGAAAGCTTATGCTCAAATAAATTGGTTAGTCGCTAAGGTGCCACAAGTCCTCCTTTTCTTAAAGCTATACAATGAGATACAATCTAAAAGACAGGAATGGCCTTTATTTAGAGTTTGTGTAAGGATTTGTTTTCATTTATTTCAAGTCTTGTCAATCACCCTTTATCTAATCTGGTGTAGATACAGTACATTCTGTATCTAATACTGCAGACTTTTAAAACAACAGGGAACAATCATAGGGAACAGCCACATAGCTGGGGCCCCCTGGATTTCACTTTTTATTGCTAGATTCCAGGAACTCCATACCCAATACCTAATTTATTATAGTTTTCCTTTCGCTGAAGCAGATAATGGGGCAGGAAGGAGATTGACTCTATTTAGGGATGAAGCTGG